AGTGTCTCCCCAAAAAAGTGCACTTAGGCAAAATGAGTTTGCAGACTACACAACCAAAACTGCACAGGCTGGCAATTTGCATGTGGAAAGATCTGTGGACATGTGACATTTTTCTCCTAGAAGCCTGTGTTATGTAGTTAGGATCTGTGGTATCAATTTTGGTTTAGTTTTTGTAATGTGTTTTGCACACAAATACATCTATGAGTTGAAAGTTTGGAAGATTAAGCACTCAGACACTAGGAGAAGTCAGAGCTGGGATTGCCTCTGCCAGTTTTACAGGCACATAATCAGCCTGGTTTGCTGTTGGCTGGCCACTTACTGTTGGCAGCAGCAAACAGCACAGCCCTGTGAAGTGTCCATTTGGGAACTAGCTGCTGAATCCTCTATCTCACTTGTTTTTAGCTGATAAGAACTTCTATTATGTTTCCCCTTTCCTCTCATCAATAAAGCAGTAATATATCCTCTAGACAGTTGACAGCTAAATCTGAGTAGGTTGCTCGTATGACTTACAGATTTAATTTTGAGAACTGGGCTTTCTTCTGGGCTGTACCAATTCTCTTTCTGGATGCTGTGAAGTTCAGTCTCACAGAGGAGTAATCCCCTGAATAGGGATTTTTCAAGATCAAAGCAAGTAGCTTTACCACCTACTTCCCACAGGCCTCAATGTAAGGGCTCTCATTGGAAACTTTAGCGGCAAATGAGCTGAGTCTGCAAGTCAACTAATAGTGTTATTTGCAATGTTGCAGTCAATTAGAATGGTAGTTTGTGCTGGGCATTAATAAGTGCCCAGGCTGTCTAGATGGTACAAATGTAGACATGTTACAAAGACACTATTGTCTCATGCTCCATATCCATAGAGCATAACAGTGAATCTGGCCCACTCTTTCTGCATTGTTGAGTATGAGGTTAACAATAGGTTTTGTAAAACACTCCATTGTATACTGGGATAGTTTGGACAAATCAGCTAGATAGTACTCTTTTGAAAATCATCTCAGATCTCCTTATGAGAACACTTGTAAGGGAGACAAATGGAGCAGATCACACATTTTGAATTCCTGATAGGAATTCCTTCCTTCAAGACCTCTGTGCTACTTTTTTCTCACCTCTCAAATGTCATTGAAATGGTAATGTATTTTCATTAGGTGGACACCCACTGTTCCTTGTACTTGTAAAGTAATTATTTTAACAGATCCGAGGAAAGATAAAGCTCATATGACAAATATTAGGTTAGACAAGTAGGCACAGAGTACTAGCTAAAGAGAGTAGGTCTTGATTTTACAATATATGAATTCTGAGGAATTGTATTCTGTTTATGCAGATCCATAATTCACTGTGGATCATTAGTTCTTACTAGTTATTCACTTTTAGGCTAATTTTTTGAGACATGCCGTTTGAGCCTCTAGACATCTGAAGTCACAACGGTTTTCTAACAGTGTGGTCACACTGACTTAATTGAAACCTTCTGAACTACAATGCTGTAAGTAGGATTAGTATCAAGCCTTTATGGTTGAAGAACATATACTCAGTGAGTCCCTCTGAATCTGAAATTCCTCCTGTAACTTGGATACTGGTTTGGCCATGGTGTTCAGGGTGGTTAGCTTCTGGCTGTGGACAGTGGTTGATAACTGCAGTGATGAGACAGTTTTAAGTTTGTCTGTCAGAGCTCCACCTGGAAGAGGGTGTGTGACAATGTCCTTAAGGTTCAGTGGTCCTTGCCTCCTCTTTTACATACCAACCAAATATTTATGATTGAAATGTCTACATCCCTGTGTGGTGCATTTCTGCCAGCTGGGAATAGTAATTCATTAACATTTGTATTTAGGAAAGAAAAGGTCTTATAATAATAAGTGGGCTAGTCTCATAATCTGATGTTGTGAATGAAATCAGACAGGCTTTTCTCTTCTCTTTATAAAAAATGGGCAGAAACCAGTTGTATTGCCCCAGCATCGAGTCTCCTAAATCCTCCTGGGTTTGCAAAACCCTTGGGACTTAACAACATGAGAATGGTGTACTGTGCCACAAGTAATTTGAGGTTCCCAAGGTGTGTTGCAGAAAAACTTTTTATTTATCTGAGAGTTTTCCAGGCAAGCCCACCACGAAAAGGAGCTGTATAAGGACTTTGGACTCTTGAATTTTGTGTTTGAATCAGTTGCCTAGGAGAGAATGATGGAGAATTGATGAAACACTTAATTGATATCTTTTGTATGTGTAAACATGTATCTACTGAATTAAATTAGTTCTTCAGAGAAATAGCACTGCTATTAGAGCAGAATGAAAACTGTAGCAAAATAATGCCATGAATATTCATATGAATTTTTCCCTGAATTCACTTTAACTCTGTTTTTCCCCTCTGACTGTTTACTTTCTGCTCCTAACTAATGCATGTTTGTTCTTTGGTGGATCAGTGAATTTTAAATGATCTTCAGAAAATATTCAGGAAAAACAAATTTTTGAATTTATGTTATCAATATTGGCAAAGGAAAGGTGATGATGTTCACTCTAATACAGAGCAGGACTGTTCTTGGCAGTGCCACTTTCCTTAAACATAGGATCTGGATGCATTAAACAACTTTAATGTCAAATGTGCACAACAAGTAAATGAGTGAGAGCTGGTAAAATTCTTTACTCATAAACCATTACCTTCTTGCATATTATTTCTTCATAGGAAAAGGCAGCAAATTAATTACTACCTTTGTGTTTATTCTCCCAGTTTTGTCATCTAACACGCTGTGTATTTTCACAGAGAACAGAGAATTTCCATTTGTTATTTCCAACCATTAGAAACAGTGAGATATTTATTTGCCACAAAGGGTCAAGTAGAATTGCTGCATTGAATGGACAGACAAAATTTCTCTTGTGGTTATTTAACTTCCAGGAATTTTTTTTCCCCAAAAAAGTATAAAATTACTGACCCACTCAGGTAATACAGATGGCCCTGAGGCATACCAGTTTTGGAACTAGCTCCAAACTTTTTCAAAGATGAGGGATGTTTGGATCCAAGGTTTTTGTTTGGCCCTTGACAGATAAAACTACAAAGCTGGAAAAGAAACAGAATTGAAACTTCTCAGAGCTTTGATCACAGTTTTAGTTCAGGCTCATGTCTAGCAGGTAAGTTGTCTCCTAATTAGAAATAGTATAATCAGCAATGGTTGTAGGCTTGCTATTTATTTCCTTTTAATACTTCCCCCCCCCCAAAAAAAAAAAAAAAATAAATCAAAGGAGTCTGAGGTATTGTTTTGCTGTTAAAGGCAAAAGACTGGCTATCCTCCAAGTGTCAGTCTTCATGGAGCAATTTATCAGCAGGCTCCCAGCTTTAGTGTGGTAGCAGCAGATTACAAAAGAATGCAAGGGAATCAGAGAGTAAAGCAAACGTAAATCTTGTGCAAATTTCAGTTCCCATCCCTATCTAGTTTATAAATGAAGTAAAATATCATATCAATTTATGTTTCAGCAACACAAATAAAATGTATTGTAAGATGGAGAATGCTAAAGAAACACATTATAGCAAAGTATTTGTAAACTTACATTTGCAAACTGTAAGTATGTTTTAAAGATACAAAGAAATAATTTCAAGAAAGTAAAGTAAATCAGGGCAACTGGTAGAAGAATAAAATCTCCTTCTATTCCTTTGAAGTTATGTCTGAATTTATTTCAATTGCTGCACAAGTATATCTTGGTGCCTTAAACTACCCTTAATACAGAAGTAACGATTTTAAAAAATCTTTTCCCATTAATAGTAAATAATTTAAAAAATATTTGGGCTTAATTTTTCTAAAATTATGAAGGACTGTGATCTTAATCTGAGAGAGATTTCTGCACTGTTTTCAATGTATCAAGGAGAAGTTTGTGGGATAGCCCCTTCAGTCTGAGAGAACAGCAAGGCTGTTGGCTTTACAGGGACAAGCATTTGCCTTTGCTCCCTGCTGTATCTTCCAGTAAGGAGCTGGAGATGGCCTGTTGTGACAACAAGGTGCGGAGAAACAGTAGGTCAGTAGAAAGACAAACACAGACCTGGACTGTGGAGAAATACAGTGGCTAATGGTATCTGTTACCCAGACATCTTTTTCCCTCCAGTATGACTATCCTGCATCTGCTTTCTCTGTGAACCAGAGTTCTTCCCTACAGTGGTATCTATGACACTCCATCTAAATGCTATCCCCTATATGCTGCATTTTCAATTCTGGACAGGTGAGAAAGACAATACTAATTGAATTTGCAGTTGGTATTTATTCTTTTATTTTGCCACAGAAAAATTTGCAGCACCAAAGGTGGACGAGTATAAACCCACTCCAGAAAGTTGGAGAGATTTCTCATTACCAGCCCTGAGGCATTTCAGGCAGTTTATTTTTTAACTGCCATAAACTGACAAATGTAGAAGATGGATCACAATGCAATATACACCTAGTGGGAAAATGAAGCAAGAAATGAAATGATCCATATCAAATATGGAAGGATAGGTAGCAAGGCAAAACTACGTATATAGGCTAAATGTCTGCATGTGTAAATTTGACAAGAAATGAAATTAGAAACAGCAACAACCAAACAAAGAACAGCTTATGATCAACAGTCCAGTATATCTTTAATTACAATTAGATGTTTTAATTTAGCTGAGTAAGTAGCACTATTCCTAGTTCAGAAGTTTAGAATTAATAAAACCCAATTGAAATGCATCACTCTTGTTAGTGTCTTGAGGGATTTATAAAATCTAGAAGGGGCAAAAAAAAAGTGGGCAATGTCCTCTGTGTAAAACCCAGTAATTCCTACTGTGTCATATTCTTCATGCACAGGAAACAAATTTGGAAGTTATAAAGGAATTAAAGGCTGAAACTCTTACATGTCTTTTCAAGGAACAGAGTTAGTGATAGCACCTCATCCAGATTATTTATTCCAGATGTTACAAATGCACAGTGATATAAAACCCAGGACAGACTGGTAAATTATGTGTTGCTTTAGACAATGGAGTTTAAATGATCTGATCTTCAACTTTATGAATTGATTTTTGTCTGTTTCAAGTTCAAGGAATTTGATGACACAATTGAAACAAAGATGTGTACACCTGAGCTGAATACTAATTAACTAAAGCAATTTTGTAAGAATTAAAGGCTTTAAAACTTAGTTTCAGTAATTGTTATCCATTAGAAATTTTTGACAAATAGAATAGTCTGAAAATTACTCAGAAGCAAATTTATTTGCTGTGTATTTGGAACACTACTAGAATTCTAAAAGAAAAAGTTTCTGCCTAAAACAAGAATTAATTGCAATTGTGGACTGATTTAAAAATTGAGTATTTGTATTCTTCCTAAAGAAGTTTAATAAAAATTCTCAAGCATTGCTGAAATAACTTAGGAAGTTAAGTCACTTATTTGAAAAAAACTTTCAAAAGGTGATATGTGTGTATCCAATCTGAAAAGTTTCTGTTTCTTGGACTGTGTTCCATCCTGGCAAACAAATTTTGAAACATTGGCAGGTATTAAGAATATAGTCACACTTCCCTCCCTCACCCCCTCCCACCCCTGGTGGTAAACCCTATTTAGATATTCTCCATATGCCCACTCTTCTGTTCTGTGTTGCATTTTACTACATCTTGATGTGTGAATTAAAACACTGAAATGTATTTTTAAAAAATCCTCCAGCTGGAAAAAAGAGATAATATGGGAGACACCAAACAGGTTGAGTGCTTCAGATAGGTTTCAGTTTTAGAGCAAAATGATTGCATTAGCAGTTAAAAAATTAATATGTGGTGACAGACAGCTGCAATGCTCTTCAAAAGCAAACAGCTCCTATGAGGCTTTGGCAAACTGCTGTTCTACATCAAGGTAATTAAGGCAAAGTGTTGAGGTTTGGCAGTGGAATTTTTTCCCCCCTGTATTTAGAAACATGGTAGAACCAAATTCTAACTTGATGCTTTCTATTTACCTGTTCTTATTTCATTTACAGGAATTCCCAGATTCTCTGAAAGAACAGATCTATCTGAAAGAATGGCACGTGAACAATACGTTGATACAAACCATTCCAGCCTACATTGCATTATTTCAAGATCTGAGAGTACTGGAGTTGTCAAAAAATCAAATCAACCATCTCCCAGTGGAAATTGGCAAGTTGGTTCAAGATATTAAACTATTTATACTTATGCCATTTAACTATATTGTAGGGAATATTCTTATTTATTCACTGCTAATTGTCTTCTTCCTTGTTTCCAGTGTACAGTCCCCTTTAAATTTTTACAACTTTCTGGCTGTAATTATACTTGCTGAATTGTATGCAACACCATGTGTGTAGTGTGGCTCAAACACGGGGAAAAAAATGACACATTTTTTTTATCTGACTATAAGGCAGTTACTGCTTGTATTCAAGTAGATGGAGAGTTCTTCCTGAGAACACTTGGAGTTTTATGTTACTCACAGGTTAAGAAAAATAGAAGTATTACAGAATTGTAAACCTCAAACAAGATGAATTGAAACATAAGATTGTGGTAAAAAGGAATAAAAAATATAATGTTGCATAAAATCCATCTTTTGAATTTTATAGTGAGTTTAGTAATCTCCATTTAATAAAGTGGTATATCCAACATGACATCAGGGTTTTTAGAGAAGCAAATTCTTAATACTTATGTACTTTGGCCTTTGCTATTTTAAGCTACATAATAACAAGAATCTGTGTTTGCCTCTCCTGTGTTTTCTGATCTTACAATATAAAAGGCTTGTTCGAAGGACTGTAATGGTTTGAGAGGGACTTACTGCTCTTACAAGGAAGAGTGTTGCTGTAACTGGTGTTATCTTTGAGAGCTGAAGAAACTGGGTCCACTATGAGAACCTCACAGTTGAGTCTATGCACCAAGGTGTACTACTACCTCAGCCTTTGTTTTTAAATGCAGTAGTCCTAAGCTTTCCCCATGACTGGTATTCCTTATGTACACTAAGAGCTAACAATTTTGCAAAAAACGAGACTAAAACCTCCACCTCCATAGTTATTGTAGGCTTAACTAAGAGAAACAGTGAGAGCGCATCCTGAAGCATAGAAGTCAGTGCTAGACTTTTCTACTCTTTTCTACTCTTTTTCTAGTCTATTAGTAGAGCAACACTAATGCTTTTGATTTATTTACTAACATTATATTTTACACAGAAGTTTCCCACTGACATCGAGATATATTTCATAATTTCAACCTGGCAGCTAAATACACCAACAAATCATAAACAAGACAACAGCAGGAGATAATGAACATAAAATAAGCACTGTTTTGTCAGTGCTTTGACTGTGGAACTCAGATGGGTCAGTGAGTTTAATGGACAAACACGTTCTACCAGATGGTATGGAAGGAAGGGGAAAGGACAGTTCACTTCTAAAGGCTACCCTAAACCATTAAACATAAGGTTTTAAGGGGTCACTGCTTAACAATCAAGGCAGGTAAAGGCTAAGAAAGTTTTTTTGTTTCTTCTTGTAATACTGTGCATCATTAATGAAAGTGATCCCCAAGAAAGAGTGATTATGAAAACTGATAAAGTCTGTTTCCAGAATAAAGGTACAAACCCAGATCATTGTAGCATAACCAGTTCTCTGTAGAGGATACTGTAGAGGCCATATCAGACCTTTCTTGGGAAACAAGGAAGAAAGTTTAAAATGCTTCTAGTAGCAATCACTGGTCTTTCAATTGTGTTTAAATGATGTGATTTATTCTCATCAGTAGCTTTCATGTTATTCCCATTTATTCACTTTCCCTCCAATGCTCATTCCTCTAGCTTATATCCAAGGTGTTGATTTCTTCCTTCCAATGTTTTTGTTGCTGCTGTTTTCTGTAAATATTTGACTGGAAGGGCCAGGGAATAATTATAGCCTATCTAGACAAAGACACAGATTCACTGATATAGTTTAAAAAGAAATAATACAAAAAACCCCACTCCATGACTGTGCGACTGAACTGTTCAGCACTTTTTTGCCAAAACTGCCTAATGATTTTCAGTCTCAGTGAATGTCCTTTGTTGATAAACCACCTATTAGTAATGCAATGGAGCTGCCCTTGTTGTTATGGCACAAATTACAGAGAAGTTTTTATCTCTGGTTGTATATTGATCTCTTTGTTGACATATAAGTTGGTATGCTTGCAAATGGCTACACTTTTATTTCATATACTATATATGCATATAGACATAGACACTAATATGTATTGGAAATGTTCATTTTTTTAATATGACTTTATTATGAGAGGTCTTGGATATTTTGAGATTTTTGGATGCTGCTTCAAAATGAAAACTTTCACACTTCAGTCATCTAGCTGCTAAATTATCACAGGGAAAATAATCGATGTGGGTTTGGTTTGAGAGCTCTAAGCAAGGAGTGAGGACTGGGTGCTAAATCAGAAGGTAAGGTCTCTGGAAAGGTTAAGTGCTAAAGTATTCATCATTTTGTGTTCTGTTTACAAAATGGCAGCAAGTAGGTAAATATCACAGCTAAAACATACTTGAGAGTAATGACAGATGGTTGAAGTTGGCAGTGACACGCATGCTGTTGAGTCTTTAATCTTCAGGTAGAATTGAGGCCAAGTTTAGACCAACAAATCATCCAGCAGAAGCTAAACTGGTGACCCATGTTCAGACTACTTTTGATTCTCACAAGAGAGCTTTAAAGGTGTGAGAGAAGAGGAGATCATAAGAATATTTTCAGTGAAAAAAGTATTGCTGCAGTAGAAGTCTCTGGACTAAAATATCTACAGGAACTGAAGCTCATGTTCCTGTTTTACCTGATTTAGAAGGGAATACTCTACTCTGAATCAGTGAGAAGACAGACTTGAATCTATTCTCAGATATTTCAGATCACACTCTTAGCTATAATCACCTAGGCACTTGAACAGATCAATTTTGGATCAGAAGACAGATGAGAATAATTTTGATTTGATTCTTTTTGTGGAATAGCCAATATTTTTATGGGAAGCAAGTAAACAGAAATGGATAAAACTGCAAAATGGTGGTGTTGTCTGTCTTAAAGGTGTCAGGTCTGGTTTTCCCAGGAATAACAGAAAAAATCATGAGCAGGGGTATAGCCGGAGGGATTTTCTTTGGCAATGGCTTCTAGGTGAGTTTGCGGTTCTGACTCTGACTGCATGGCTTCAGTGCAGCCACTGTATACCAGTTAGCGCTAGTACGTTAGTAATTACTGTGATTGCAAATATCCAATATAATATATTACCATATTCACATAGGAAGTATTGAACTGCATTTTCATGTGATCCCAAAGCTTTGGTGCTGGGATGGGGTAGTGAGGCTATATCAGGATTTTTTTGTCCCACAAATTATTCGTGAAACATCTCAAAGAGATGTTAATAAAATCTTTGTACCTCATTATGTTCTCTCACATTTTTGATATACCTAATATTTAAGAGGAAAAATAACTGTGCTTCTGAGACACCTTTTAGTAAGAAATGACAGGGATTTTTTTGGTCTCCTCCCTAACTCACAGTATAAAATTTCATTTGTGCATAACATTAATCCAATTTCCTACAACTCAGAGGGGAAAACTATAAGTAATACAGTTTTAAATGACTTCTAGATACCTGAAATAGCTTTTTCTATTAATAAGATTCCCAGTGTGCTGATGTGTGAGTTTCCAAGAAGAAAATACATATTCTCAGTTTAAATGCAGTCTAGTTCTGAGGAGTTGCAGACTCACCTCTTACCCTTGACATTTATTCAGTATTGAATATTATCTATCCAACAGCTCAGTCTTGTATACAACTGAGGAAAATTTTGTTTATATTCCCCATTTGAAGGGGAAGTATTAAACACCTCTGTTGCAAGTTGACTGTTTTTAGGAGGATGTCAGTTGCTTTAAGGCTAGCTGCTCAAATGATGGCTGGCTCATACTGGAACAGCTGGTAAGCTCCTCAAATTTAACCCTTGGTTAGTGCATCACAAAAGTACAAAATTGTACTTTTTATTGGACTAACTAGAGACAAAACAATCTTTTTTTTCATCTGTTTAACCTATCAAAAATGGTAATATTGTACTAAAATGTAATACATACATACTGCTTTAACAAATTTCAACATAATTGGATATTGTGAAGGCCAGTACTTTATTAAGCTGAATTTCTTGAATGGATTTTAAGTAGCACTGTAAACACGGCCATGGAAGCTACTCATTACATAAATGATTTTTGCCAAAAGATTCCTATCTATTGACTTTGTCATATTGCTTTATGTAACTACACTACATATAACAACGTTAGAACGTGCTCCTTCTACACACAGCAGATTGGTATTAGCAAACTGTAGTTTATTTCTCAGTCTTCACTTGGGTCACAGAGGGAATGTTGGAGGCTGTGCACACCATTCTGGTTATGAGGGAAAAGTTTTATCCAAGAAGAAGCTTTTTCAGTTTTCAAGGTGATGAAAATGTATTGTTCCACCATTCCCAAGCAGCTTCTGGTTTCTGCATGTTTATTTGTGATGCTCAGAAAGTGTTTTCCAGCCTGGAGACAGAGCCTATACTCTACTTTGCCCTTGGGAAACACACCCTTTTTTGGGATGCCCAGGGAGATCAGAGTCCATGTTTCAGCTTGTCTGCTCACATGAAAAAAGAAAGTCATACACTTTTCTGTAGAATTTCTGATCTACCAAAATATCTTCAGTTCAGCTCATTGCATTTTTGTTTTCATTAATTTCCTTTTCAGCCCTTTCAGTAGACCTTCACCCTACATTTTTTCCGTGTACCATTCAGCTCACAAGAACTTCATGTTTTTCTACCTCTATTTTGCTACAAGAAAACCTTCTGATTTTTTTCCCCACTTACATTGTACTAATACTTTTCTGACCACAAACTGAGATCCCAAGCTTTATCCTTTTTATTTTTTGTTTGTAGTAGTCACTTGCAATTTCTCTCAGCATGTTTAAATTTTTTTAATTGGACACATGAATGTTGGGTAAAGAATGAAAGTTTACTAGCTCATTTTAACTATCTGTTACTGTGTTACAGCTTTTATAAGCCCTTTGCAACTCTGTTATGCAAAAAGAGTTCAGGAAGTCTTCACCCTTCCTTTGCTTGGATGCTTTGAGCAGAAGTAAAAAAAAAAAAAAAAAGATATTTGTATTGTTACCTGTAAGCT